TAGGCCAAGACTCGCCGAACACACACTCTCTTATTGACGATAACTCCGGGCACTCGCATAGGACATGCTTGACAGTCTCATCTTCCTGTTCACACATCCTGCATAGAGGTGTGTCCACTAGCCCCATATTATGGAGGTGTTTCCTTAGTTGACAGTGGCCAGTCAGAAATCCTACTGTTAAGCGTAGATTTTTCCTGGTCATCGCCAGATATTTCTTCGGCGCCAGCTTTCCAGGGTCGCCCAGGGTGATCCTGGAAAGATTGCATCCTTTGATTCCATCCTATCTCTTTAGGGATAGAGCATGGGTGTAACATTTGGCTAGTTCCGCAATTGTCAAAGTCATCAGGCCGTAGGTGCCACTGGGTCCTAAAATTCTTAGTCTAGCCGCTTCCTTGGCTTAAGAGTCAGCAATGCGATTACCTTTACTCCTGTCGTGCCCTTTAAACCCACCTATAATGATATTATCTACCGAGGCTTTGGCTAAATCTTGGTGGCGCTCTAGTACTAACCCTGAGTTAAATTTTTGGGTACAATGTTGGATGAACAACTGACTGGGAATTTACATATTGATAGTGTATGTTGTAAATTAAACAAAGCATATTTTGCAATGAAATAGATAAAGCAATGTTGTACAAGCAGGTCAAGTCTGCTGAGTGTCTGAGTGTCTACTATGCAATGGCGTATTCACACATTTCTTACAATATAATGTCTTGGGGAAGTGCAAAAAACTTCACCAGGATCTTTGTATTACAGAAACGACTAGTGAGATTGATATTTGACATGAACTACTTAGAGAGTTGTAGGCCAGTATTCATTAGAGAAGGGCTTCTTTCAGCTCCCTGCATATACATATATAAATGTGTGAACTATGCCAGAAAAAATGAGTCACTGCTTGAAAAAACCTCATCATATCATGAATATCAATTGCGTAATGGAAATTCATTAAAGGTGCCTAGACACAAAACCTCCAAATTTAAAGAATCACCACTATATATTACAGTCAGCCTTTACAATGCGCTGCCGTCAGCTATTACACAAATTAAAATAGACAAGTTATTCCATAGGAGCATTAAAAAATCTCTTAGTAGACAAATGTTACTACAGTAGCGAAGAATTCCTGAATGATTGTAAGTGTGAAATGTCTCTATATTTATGATTTAAGTCTTTCTTATTTTTTAGGGTGCAACCATTTTGGGAAATATGGATTTCACGCAAAGCAATGTTCAGGATACTATACTAAATCTTTTGGATGGTCGAAAGGTTGATGCAGTTTTATCTGATATGGCGCCGAATGCAACTGGTGTACATGCAATGGACAACGAAAATATTGTAAAATTATGCTACAGTGTTCTGCGATTTGCGTTACCAGTATCCAAACCCAATGCAACTCTGTTGGTGAAAGCATGGCAGTGCGAGGAATTCAAAAAATTTGAATCCAATATGGCAAGATTCTACGAAAAAGTTAGAGTGGTGAAGCCAAATTCCAGTAGATCTGATTCTGCTGAAGTTTTTTTGTTAGGAAGAAATTTTAAGGGTATAGAATAGTTGAAAATGAGAATGATCGAAGTGGATTACTGAAGAAATCACACTTGAAGAATGGAAACATCTGCGGAATAGCGGAGAACTTCAAGTTGAATTTGTTATTCATTGATAAATTTATTTAAATTCGAGGAAAAGAAAAACTTGCAGGTCCACAAGATGTTACCTAATTGTAGTTGACAGGTTCTCGTGTCATTGTTAAAGAATTTTCATTTTACCAGATAATCAGTAAGCTGTTAAATTATTTCGAATGATTTGTATAGAAGATGACTTTTTATAATGATGAAATCTTTTGAGTGAGATTTCTGTCATGTGAGGTTTAATCTGACCTGTTCTTCAAAGGGACAATCATTTTCAGTGGGGTTTCAAATATTTAGTTTTGTAAACACTCGGTAATACATGTTGTCAATGGTTATCAAACAATCTGTATCCTGGTTGGTTAGCACCTTTTTTGTTTCTTTCTCGAGCAGTCAATCACCATTTATGATTGACATTATTGAAACTAATTCTACTATTTCACTTGGTGTGATTAACTATGATACTTTACTGGATATTTGAGATTGAATCAAATATTTATTAAATCCAAAAAAGGAGTTTTAACATGAAAAATTCCGGAGCTGCTCTCATTCAAACTCGTACAGATTCAATTATTTTCTTTTCAAACAGCTAATTAAAACTTATATGGATATTATTTTGAGAATAACAATTTCAAACAAACTGATAAGTAATCATGAAAGTCTCTCCTTGAAGTGTTAACATTTATGGAATAGACAGAAAATTCAAACCTTGCTTATCCAAAATAAACAAGGGTCCTCACATCGGTCTGTTAGAAAACCAAGCTCCGATATCGTCTGCCTAAGTTAGGTTAGGTCCAAAGTGATAGGTCTATCCGACTCCAGTAATATTCTGTACAAGGTAATGTTAGATTTTGACCTAAATGTGTGGAAATAGCAGTTTTAGCAGAATTTGCAAAATGATGGGCAAATAGGTTTGCTACAGTAGGAGTGTGTTCAACCATAACTGAGTATTGATGGAGAGTGATAACATTATAGACGGATTGAATGCAAGTTGTAGTGATGACAAATTTCTGTTAAAATTTTTTTTTCTGTGAACCAGCTGTCTCCTCCCCTACGAACTACAACTCTCAGAAGTCGAAAATTATGCGATATAAGGACTAACGAGGTCTTATCTTTTATCGTGTGATTCCTAACAGGATATTATCGAATCATTTGGTCTTATCAGTCATAATAATGTTCCAACTAGAATTTCGACACATATCAATGGTAAAACAAATGCAACCAATTCAGACTATGTAATATTCAATTCCCCGAATATAACAAAGGCTGAATCATTTTGCACAAGTTTTGGAGTGGCTTCATGATGGGCAGATAAGTTCAAATAGTAATAAAATTGAAAAAAGGGTAATTAATCCTAATACTATCTCAGAGTACATATTTTCTCTTCAATAGAAAAACTATTGATATGGACGTTATTGGCGATGTGGACGTGGTTTTCGATATTTTCTGGCAACACTTTCTCTGGTATTTTGAAGTTTCGCATCCCAAAAAAATTATTGACTTGAAAACAAAGCAAAATGCATTCTACAAGCCTGTCTGTTTTTCCGTTAACCAGCTGTCGCACCCCTACGAACGACAACCCTCAGAAGTCGAAACTTGTGCGAGCTAAGGATTAACGAAGTCTTACCTTTTAACGTGTGATTCCTAACATGTTAGGAATCACACTTGAAATCCGAGTGGAAATTGATGATTTGAGACATTTTAATTGGTACAGAAAAATATCTGACTCCGAAATTGATATTAAATATAGAATCAAGAAAAACAACTTAAATGCAAAATTGAACAAAGATAAGACCGAATATTATTGCTCTATCATAAATAACTTCTGACAATCAAAGAAAAAAAATATGGGAAATAGTTGAAATTTAATAGAAAATCTGCAGGAGTGAAACCAATAACTATAACTAGGGATTATTAATGATCCGAAAAAGTAGCAGACATCTTTGCCAAACCCTTTTGAATTCTATAAAACTAAAACAACCATACGTTTTCTTTCATACCGTTTTCTGAGTTTGAATTGGAAAATATTGTAGGTCATAAGTAATTGCAGAGCAGTGTTATCTCCTTTTCTTGTCAAAATAATAATATCCTGTAAAAAATGGAAAATTCCCATATATGTTCTAAAAGTCTTGAAAACTATTCCTATATTTAAGGCAGGTGATCTGAAAAATGTTGATATCCATTCTCAGTCCATTTTCGAAAGTAGGTATTGGACAGATGCATGCATGAGACTCAAATTTAAAAAAAATCAATCTGCTGACCTCTTGCCAACTTGACAAAGCGTACAATATAAATACAATAACATTGAACAGAATAATTATGTGATAGGAATATTNTCTGTTTAAAATCTGTTTTTCCGTTAACCAGCTGTCGCACCCCTACGAACGACAACCCTCAGAAGTCGAAACTTGTGCGAGCTAAGGATTAACGAGGTCTTACCTTTTAACGTGTGATTCCTAACACGTAATAATTGAATTGAATGGGTGGTGGTTCCAGGCAGTCACCTTCTTTTGCTGGCCATCTTCAGTTTAACTAAAAACAAGTCTCTGGAACAAAAATTATTCACTGGCGGTGTTTATTCTTTTAGGGATCATTACGCATGGTTTTGGGGTCTCCAAGTTTCTGTTATGAATTAACTCCCCTCTGATTTCCCCAATCCCATAATTTTGCCCTGTGAACCCAGGGTTCTTGTACGAGAGCAATACCAAACTCTCCCATGATCTCAGGAAGTACTGCCGAAGCCCCCTTACTGTGTTGTAGGTTTGCTTGTTGCTGCTATCAACATCGGCGCTGATGTCGGGATCCTGAAGATGGCCATATCCAGCTCATTTCAGCCCCTCCAGGGGAGTAAGTCTTACTATGGCCTCCCAGGGCAGGATTCTGTAGCTCACTGAGACGTGTCCTAAGTGTCCCCTCCGCTTTTTTGGCGTGTATGGTATGAACACCAAGACCACCAATCTCCACGGAAATTTTTTGGCCTTGATCACCTCAAGTCCACCTTGTTCCAATGTCGCCTCAGAGCTCTGACGCTTGCTCTGAGCTTCATTCGGACTGAAGATTAGTGTTGCTGCCTGAGAGAATGTTATCTTATTCAGGGGCGAGTCTCTCCTGAATTGAGTCTTGTTCCTGACTCAGGGTGAGCTCCGGATGGTATCTATCTATAACCGCCACTCTGAGCCCACTTCCAGCCTCACTATATGATATCCTCTGTGAATAGATTTTTACATTCTCTTTAGTACCCTTTTCAGTGCATTCCACATATGTTATTTTCAATGAATCTGTGCTGCGAATCCTAGATGCCTATTCAGTCCATGTCCCACGAGTGCGGGGAAAAAGATTTTCCACATCCAAGAAGCCCCCTCGAGGGATGCAAGGCGTAGTACTCTAAGAGGTCGCCTGGTATCCCAGAGGCTCCATTGGTGATACCTGACAAGGCTCAAGCATGATTAATTCTTCGGCACGAATCGCATAACTAATTTAAGCCCCCTTTTTAGTTGCCTCTCTGTTCTAATCCCCGATGACGCAGAGGGAGGTACCGTCTTCGTCTGACTTTTCACCCTCGACCTCTCCGGCTTGGGAGGCCCTACCTGTAATTGACCTACCGCATGGCTCTAGATATCATAAAAGTTTTTTATAGGCTACTTTCAAAATTTTTTCTGGAAGAATATCCCTGAGTTTATAAAATGCAAATACCAGTTTTTTAAGTTTGCTATTCAAATATACTGAATGATTATCCCATCTGAGCATTTCACTGATGAAAACTCCCAGATATTTGATTTCTGAAGTGTTTTGAATTGTCTTCTTACAATCGCAGTTGATCAGATCACATCTCTCGTGAAATTTAATTGATTTCAGGTTGGGTTTAACTTTTGGGCTGTTTATGAAAGTTATGAATTTAGTCTTGCTCTCATTTAAGCTCAAGAGATTACAGTCCATCCAACATTTGATTTGATATAAACCTTTTTCCGCGTTTTTTGTAACTTCTTGCCAATTTGTTCCATGGAATAGGAGAACCGTATCGTCCGCATATGAGATGATATCTCCACCTACTTCCATATTAAACATTTCATTGATATAGAGAAGAAATAACTTAGGACCGAGGACTGTTCCCTGAGGAACACCATATTTGATTTCCAAAGATTCACTAAATTTATTTTTAATTTTAACGACAGATTTTCTCTTCGATAAATAACTTCTAAATAATGATAACGGTAAGCCTCTAATCCCGTATTTTTTTTTTCAAAAGTTTGAATGAATTACGGTGTTATCTGAACACTTCAAAGAATAAAGTATTGAAGCAATATTGGTCCAATTGTTCTCTTAGCAACGATACTAGCTCAGACATTAACGCCAAACCTTTATTGGAAATTGGCCGCTCTCACAAAACACTATTCGTCTACGATACATAAGCTATCTGAGCTTTTTCCATATATTTTTACCTGCAGTTCTTGACTAATCTCTTTTAGAAACCGTTTTATCAACCTTAACCATAGCAAGACCAATAAACTTATTTTCTTCATTCATGATTAATGACTATCCACATCCATGACACATTTGATGAAAGTAAAAAATCATTATCCAGTATTACCTACAGCGTAGGTAAGTCGAGAGTGGCCTGAACAAATTGTTCTTTCAGTTAATTTGATTTATAGCCAGTTTTCAAGTATGCACACTGAATCCAATTTATGTTTTCATTTTCAATCCAATCGCAAAGGAATTAGTATCCATTCGACAAAAATCCCTTTTTCGGAAAGTGCCTGTTAAAAAATGGTCGCCATTTGAAAAATAATGGTTCATTGATTTTGACAAATCTTATTTCTATCTATAATACAAGTTACGAAAACTGTGATTGTGATTTTCTGACGTTAGGGGAGACCGGGGCAGGTTGTAACAAAAAAAGTTTACAATTTTTTTTGTTCGAAAACGATTTCTTCAATCTGGTTCTAATTTTCGTGATTTATTACTTACATATTTGGCCAACTTGTCAAATATATATGTAAAATAATCGTTGACAATTAGACCTCTAACCACATTTTAAATAAAGTTCTCCAATTGTTACAATGTGCCCCGGCCCGGGGAAAAAAAGTAACACATCTGTTTTAATTGTTTAAAGGAAAATATGAATATACATTTGACTACAAAAAACATCTCTAAAAAATATAAATGCAAACACATATTAATAAAACAACATTAGATAACTTGATGTAATAATAATCACTTGCCTATTCACTATCAGAATCGCAATTGTGGCAGATATAAGGAGAGTTTCCCTAAGTGCTATCTTTATGTGACCACATTTTGCACACACTGCACCTAATCCAATATTCGTTCAGTTTGCTATTGCTAAAGGGTTCAGTACAAACTAAGCAAAAGTACTCGTCTTCAGAAGGTGATTCTAATTCCATCAAAATCTTTTTTTTTACTTTCTTCACTTGTGCCTTCATAATTTCTTTCTGCTTTTTAGATTTGCGTTTATTCTGTTCTTCTTCCAGGGCATTTTTTTCTGTTGTGTCAGTTAGAATGGCAGAATTTCGTTTTTTTCTTCCCCTATTTGTTTTGTTTCTTTGTTCAGCTTTAGGGAGCTTTAGGGAGAGAAGGGAGCCTTGTCTTTGAAGGTGCGTTTGAAAGGAGCAGGATAGCATTTAGAAGTGGATGTCTGTGAACATTCTTGGGGTAGGCCAGTCGTTGTTACAATAGGTTTCAAATCATCTGTTTGGGAGGATATAGGTGGTGGTGGTAGCGTATGCTCTGTCACAGAAGCGGGGAAGAAGTCATCGTCGCTAAAAGTTTCTCGGTTAAAAGGTTCTATGCCAGAAACCTTAAAACCTTTCATTATATTTATAGGAGTAGCTGCCAGTGCATCACGAACCAAGGAAGGGACGTCATAAATTGTCATCGACTTTTCGGCGTTGCTTCGCATCCAGCTATCTTGACCAGAAGATAAATACTTTTTGAAGGGGCCATATACGCTCCTGTCTAGGGGCTGCGAACGGTGAGAGCAGTGGGGCGGAAAAGACATCACCACCCAATTTTTTTTTGCATAATTTATAGTTTTTATTGCTGAATGGGACTTATGGTTGTCCAGTAATAAGAGGACTGGACTGTCTTCCGATGGCTTTACGTGAGCAACAAAGTGCTCCATAAATTTATACGTTCTCCTCCTAAAAGCAAGTGATATTTCAGTAAACTGCATATTGGTTATAGCGGGGTAAGTAGTAACATGTCACATTTTGCCCCGAGCAGTTTGTTACAATTTACCCCGAGTTTGATTTTATAAGAATTATCTCGGTAAATTTTAAAGAAAACATCATATCACTAAAATACGTATACACTGTGATCAGGCAATGTGCAATGACTAGTTTGTGTCAAAAAAGCGAAAGCTTCACCGGTTTGTGAGTAGTTAATCGAAGTCAAAGTGTTAGATCAAAATTTACTTACGTGCTCAAAATATCAACAAATCTCATAAATAAACGTAAAACCGATATATAGCGATTGGCTGCATAAGTGAAACTGACACTGATAACATTCCCTATAAGCCCGAGCATGATGCGAGGTTACCAGAATAAACTTTCAGGAGATTTTGCGACTGTTACACCTTAGCCCGTGTTACAACCTGCCCCGGTCTCCCCTACCTGACGTCCTTAGATTAGTTTATGTTCAATCATGGCTACCCAGATGTTATGTTAAAGTGACTCTAAAAAAATTGAGAATTTCACATTATAATCCAGAACTGTCTAAGAAATCAAAAAAAATGTTAAAATATACACATTTTGACACAACTAATGTAATAGTTATTATTAATGATAAATTCATCAACACTAGAAGTATAGGCTGATCCAAATTAAGTGTATACCATCCGTGGGTATTGGAGATACGAAATCGTATGGCATATCAACTACAGATTCTTCATAATGAAAAAAGATAGAAATACATGTTCTAAAAATACATAAGCACTCCAAGAAAATTGTTGAAATGCTTTGATTTGAATCGCTTTAGAATATAGGTACTCATTTGGAAAAACCATTTCGGGAAGTTTATTTCACAATGAAGTCGTACTCCTGACACTTATATCTCTCTGAGTGGAATCTAGTGGTGAGTCAGTCGAACAATTCTCGTGGAAGAGAACAGAAAAGAGATACGTTCACAACTTATTAAAAGACCTCCCAAGTATCCTGATCTCACGCCATTAAATTTTTTCTATGCGGTTATTTGAAAAATGAAGTCAATGCTGATGACATTGAGATTAACCAAGGCAGCACGATGAGAAACAGTTGAAACAGTTCATCGACAAGCACAAAACTACATCGAGGAAAGGTTTGACCTCTTCGAGTACTTACTGAGAAAAAATTAACTTTTCATTAAATAATTATTCGATAAAGCAAGATGAACTTTATCGAATATTTCCTTCATTTTTTACTATACAAAAACAATCACATGCTTCCCTAATTGAAATTAGTATCACTTTCCACCAGAAAAAGTACTTAATGAGCTTTTCACTAGAATACAAGGCATTTCACTTAAACAGTCGAATATGCGTCAGTCGGTTCTTTTTAGTTTTTGTAGTAGTAACCCTCTGGTGGGCACATCAGTATTGGAACAGCTATAGTTTTGTATTCGGACACTAGAAGGGGTTGTGCTTAGTTTCGACTTCTGAGGTTTGTCGTTCGTAGATCGGTTACAGCTGGTTAACGGAAATCAGATCTCATGTCAAAATTATTCTCAAAGAGTTTAATTAGAATCCTTCATTTTTGCACTGTTTAAACATGAGTTATGATTTCGTTTATCACCTTTTGTTTTATAAAAACTTGTTTATACACTTCAAGTGCGGAATGATATAGTGGGTTTGTTTTACGAACATGGAAAATCTACAAGGGCAACTGCTCGTATTTTCTACGAGCATTATCCGGGAAAAAATGTAAGACGTTATTATGTAAATATTGGAATTGGCAATAATTTTCACGGTGGTGGTTGAAATCAAAAGTATATGAGACGCATCCAACTACTGTAGATAATTTACTCTAGCAACTGATATTCTTCAGAATGTAGGCAGGAAACAGAAGCTAGTTTATACCTTTGTATGGAAGTGAATAGTACTCAGTTCGAATATTTGATGAAGTTTCACTTTCTAGTTCGAAATTAAATACAATCCTAAAAAATTTTTGAAGCACTGTTCATCATTGTAACGTCAAAATGTTATCTGACAAAGGGTGGATTGCTATGTAGACATAAGTCCTCCTGAAAAGTAAAATTCACGTGTTTCACATTTTTTTTTTACAGTCTCGATATCAAATGACTTATTCAGGGTGGCTCGCTGGAATTCCCTGTATGTTTTGTTTCAATATATGCAACCGACTGTTCACTTTTCACTATTATGAGTTGACTAATCTTCAAAGTTTGATGAAGTATTATTTAATATTAGCTGTTCTTATCCCCTCAAGGTTAGATTTTATTACTTTGAAATTAGCATTTTCAATTGCCACAGTACAGATGTACTATCGTCATTTATTCATGTAAACTCTTATATTAAATCAAGGACCAAGTTGTTTTTAGATAATTTCATATTACATGACACTTGAAACGGTGTTGCTACCCAATAGA